CCCGCACCAGCCGGGCGCGCTTCACCAGGTCGTTGAGCTTGCGCAGGGCGGCATGGCGCGGCAGGCCCTGGATGTCCCGGAATAGGTCTTGTTCCTCCAACTCGAAGAGTTGCCGGTTGTCCGGCACGAGCAGCGGCTGGGACCAGAAGGAGCCGATGTAGACGCGTAGGACCTCGGGCGTGCCCACCACCTTGCCCAGCGCCCACATGAGCGCCCCGTAGACGCGCATCAGCTGCTGCGTCTCCACCATGTCGGCCTTGTTGAGCACCACGCGGATCTTGTCCTCGTGGCCCCGCAGGGCGCCGATGGCCTCCGAGAACTCGTCGGAGATCTCCAGCTTGTGGGCGTCGAACAGCAGGATGATGAGGTCCACGCGCTCGGCGAACCAGCGCAGCACGGCCGGGAAATCATAGCCTGCGGGGCGGGGCGGGGTGGGGAGCACACAGGTGGTTAGGGAGCCCACTGCCCTGGCAGAGACCCTCCCGAATGCCCCCACCCCCAGCTCTTGGAACCATCTTGGCAATGGTAGGGGTGGTCCCAGCCCTCCCCTTTTGCATCCGCTCATCCTTATTCAGTACATAGGAGTGGTGTGTGATGGATGGTAGGCAGTGGCCCCTAGACAAACCAAAGGAGACCCGTTGCTGGGCTTCGGAACTGACTCCTAATGACCCTATGAGAGAGCCTAGAACTGCCCACCTTATAACTCTTCACGGGAGTGAAAAGCCCTGGTTTTCGCCCAAGGGGTGACTGGTGGTTTTGAACTGTGACCACGCAGATCACAGCCTAACTTGTAACCACTACACCACCAGGGCTCCTAATCTCTGATCCATACATAGATCATTTTAATAGCGTTTTATGATATTGGTGTTAAACTATATTGTTGTTGAGACTATGCCCAGCCAGACATACACCCTTTCAGCAGTTTCTATATGTGACCTCCAGGGACATCGACCACCTTCCAATTGCGCGCCCCTCCTCACCCTCCTTTGAATGGTTCCCCTTCCGTTTATGCACATTCACACACACACACCTGCTAAGAGCCAAGGCGATCGCTCATCATTACCGAAGCTGACGGCCCTAACTTTCTCCCAGAGTGCCTTATCAGTTCGAACCACCAGTTAGTAGTTAATTACTTAACCACCAGGCCACCCGGGTTTCCTAAGAGGTCCCTCAGAGCAAGAATACAAAACAAACCCACTGGCATTGAGTCAATTCCAGCTTACAGCGACCCTGAATTACCAAACCAAACTCGGCCCTCGAGTCAAATTTTGACCCATGACCCTCCCGCAAGGCAAGAACATTTTGTTCTAACAACCTGGCATTCTGTGATGCTCACCCTCCTGGTACAATCGCTGAAGACAAAATGCATGCATAAGCAAATGTGGTGAAGAAAGCTGATGGTGCCCGGCTATCAAAAGATAGAGCATCTGGGGTCTTAAAGGCTTGAAGATAAACAAGCGGCCATCTAGAAGAGAAGCAACAAGCCCACATGGAAGAAGCACACCTGCCTGTGCGAGCATGAGGTGTCTACGGGATTGGGTAACAGGCATCAGAAGACCCAAAACAAACAAGCAAACAAAAATCATATTGTTGAGAACAAGGGGGGTTGGAGCAGAAACCCAAAGCCCATCTGTAGACAGTGGGACATCCCCTCACAGAGGGTTACAAGGAAGGGATGAGTCAACCAGGGCACGGTAAAGCACCGATGAAACACACAATATTCCTCTGATTCCTCGAGGTTTCCTCTTCCCCCCAGTGCTGCTTCTCACTTCAGACTAGACCAGAGCATGGACACAGGTACAGATTTAGGAGCCCCCGACACATGGAACCCAGGAACAGGAATGGGAATAGCCATACCAGAAGGGTAGGGTGAAGGTGGGGAGAGGAGGGGAGAACGGATCGCAATGATCGACACATAACCACACACACACACACACACCCTCCAGGGGGACGAACAACAGAAACCATGGGGGAAGGGAGACAACAGTCAGGGTAATATATGAAAATAAAAATAATTTATAATTTATCAAGGGGTCACGGGGTGGGGGGAGGAGAGAAGGGGAAAAGAGGAGCTGATACCAAGGGCCCAATAGAACGTGTCTCAAAAAGAATGATGGCAACAGATGTACAAATAGGCCTGATACAACTGATGTACGGATTGTGATGCGCTGTAAGAGCCCCCAATAAAATGATCTTTTACCAAAACATGGAGTAAATTCTGACTCATGCGACCATATAGGACAGGGTAGAGCTGCCCCTGTGGATTCCTCAGACTGTAACTCTTGGCAGGAGTAGAAAAGCCTTATCGCTTCTCGGCCTTTTGGCTAAGATCTAGTGTAGGAGTAGAAAAGCTTCATCTTTCTCTCAGGGAGCTGCTAGTGGTTTCAAACTGCTGCCCTTGCATCAGCAGCCCAGCCCATAACCACCCTGCCAACAGGGCTGTTCAGTGACCCTACATAGGGTTTTGGAAACTATCCATCTTTATGGGAGTAGATAGCCTCAGTGTTGTTCCACAGGGCTCCTGGTGGGTTTGAACTGCTAACTTCACAGGTAGCAGTCCAACAGCAGTCCCTCTCTGGTGGCCCACGGTCCCACCTGGCTCCTCAAGAGGTCCCTGATGCTGCTGTTAGGTGCCATCAAGTCAGCTCTGACCCAGATCACAGCCCAGGGTGTCGCCACTACGCCACCAAAGCTCTTCTAAGAACAAGCAAAACTCCTTGCCATGGAGGTGATGCTGATTGATAGTGACCTCCCGTGGGTTTTCCGAGACACTGAACTGTTCACAAGAGTAGAAAGCGCAATCGTTCTCCGGTGGAGCTGCTGGTGGTTTTGAACTGCCGACCATGCAGATCGCAACACACACACACACACACCATCTCAATCCAGCAAGGAAAGCGCTCACGCCGAGCCCTGGGCATGCCCTTGCTGGTTGGAACATTATCTCCCAATTAACATTATTTCCTGAGACCCCTCTGGGGCCAGCCTTGTCCTGGGTGTTGAGGGGTCGGCTGAAAGGGCACAGACAAGACCTCTGCTCCCATGGGGCACCCAAACGGTGGTGGGCCCCTGTGTTCATTCATTCACTTATTCCTCTCCATGTTCTCACTCTCATTCATTCAAGCCATCGGGGGGGCTCTCATTCCTCAATGCTTTTCAGGGCGCGGGGAAGGGGGTGGAAAGGGGAGCTAGGGTAGGTGGAGAGGAGCCCTCAAGACCCCTGACTTGGCAGCCACGGGACACTGGGTTTGAATCCTTGCCCTGGCCCTCATCTGTGGTGTCCCCTTAGGCGAATCCCTTCACCTCTCCGACCTGACCTTCTGTTTCTTCTTCTGTGAAAACGGAATCGGTACACGTAGGAATGACGTCCCAAGGCAGCTGGGACCAGGAGAAGAACATCAAAGACTGGGCATACGTGAAGCACCGACAACAGGCCATGCGCGGTATCGAACGAGGAGGAGTCCTGGTGGCCCATTAGCCAAAGTGCTCAGCTGGTCCCCACAAGGCTGGCGCTCCGACCCAGCAGCCTCTGCGGGAGGGAGCCAGATGTGGTGGTCCGCTCCCAGAAGATGCCAGTCGTGGGAACCCCGTGGGGCGGCTCTGCTCTGTTCTCCGCAGTGGCCGTGAGTCAGAATCGCCTCCGTGGTAGAACATTTGGTTTGTGTTTTGGTGGAATGGTATAAATGATGCCTCAGGAGAACGGGTTCGATACGTACAGAAATTCATAGGATCGAACCATTGAATTGTATGCAGTGTGAATTACATGCCCATAAAAAAAAAAATGAATCGATCAATAACAACATTTCCTGCTGGACATGCAGAGAGAGTGACCAGGAAGGGTGAGTTCTGGTTTGGGCAGGGACCGAGGCGAGGCGGGTGTCAGCTGGGCTTCCAGAAAGCATCCATCCCCCGCTAGGATCGAACTATTGAATGTATGGTATGTGAATTAGAAGCCAATCAGATTGTTATAAATAAATCAACAAAAAAGAAGGCAGTCCGCAGCCCCCAGCTGTCTGGGCTGGGGACAATGCAGCCAGAGCCCCAGCCCGGCCTTCACAGATATAGTCCTGATCCCAGGGTGGTCAGGCTGGGATCCTGTGCGCCTGACAGAGAGGGCTGGGGTGGGGGATGAGGTGGGGTGGGGGGTGGAGAGGCAACCCAGGAAGGCGTCCTGGAGGAGGCAATGCCTTGTTAGGACCTGGGGAAGGAGAAAACTGGGAAACAGAAGGCACTACTGATTCGGGGTGCACTTCCTTCAGGAGCCTCTCTGATGTCACTTGTTCCATCTTTGCAATCACTCTCCAAACCCCAACCTGCTGCTGTGGAGTCGGTCCCAACACCCGCCCGGGGACACTACAGCCGTGTGTTTCAGAACAGAATGGTCCTATGGAGCTTCTGAGGCTCGAAGCCTTTCCAGAAGCCAGCCGCTGCATCTCTGTCCCTCAAAGTGGCTGGTGGGTTAAACTGCCCACTTTGATTGGCATTTGGGCACTTTAACCACTGCATTACCAGGGCTGCTCCCTGGGGGGGGGGGGAGAAATCCATTTTCCAGATGAGGAAACTGAGGCACAGAGAGGTTAAAACCTAGGACACAGGGAGATGCCAGAACCGGAGTTGGAATCCAAATTCCAGATTCCAGAGTCTCACAGGGGAGCTGGTCCTCTGGCCTCAGGATATGGAGGAGGAGGAGGAGAAAGGGGAGGAGGGGGGAGAAGGAAGCAGTTGATTCCAGGGCCCCTGGGGGAGGGACAGGCTGGGGGTGGAGGGTATTGTTTGGGGGGAGGAAGGGCCGGGTCGCCAGAGCAGCTGGGGAGGTCCTCCTGCTCCAACTGCCTACACAAACACACACACACCGGCCCAGATTTGGAAAATGTGTCTCATGGGGCAGAAGAGGGGAGGGGGGAGAGGGGGCAGGTTGAGTCATCGTGGGAAAGAGCCTTGGCAGAGAGAGCCCCAGCCCCTGCACACAACAGCTATTCAGATGTACGTGGTGCCCTGAACTCACTCAAGAACAACTTTGATCGCCCTTCGAAGTTACTTGACCCCTCGGGGCCCAGCTAGGTCAAGCAGCAGAACATGGTTGATAAAAGAGAGTGTCCTACATCCTGGGGTTTCTAATAGCTTTGGAGTGGTTATCCGAGACCCGCCAATTGGCCCCTTTCCACCTTGAGCAAAAAAGAGTGAAAAACAAGTGCAAAAACACAAGAGTCCAAAGGACTAGTGCACCACACCTACTATAGCCTCCACTAGCTGGAGACCAGAAGGAGTAGATCAGTGGTTCTCAACCTGGGGGTCACGACCCCTTTGGGGGGGGTGGTCAAACGATCCTTTCACAGGGGTCCCCTGAAGACCGTATTTCCGATGGTCTTAGGAACCCAGACACCGCTCCTCTATCCATCTCCAGGTGGTTCCACCCACCCACATGCAGATTCGCCCACCTACGGAGTCAAACCTGAGGCACTGTCTTAAAGGGTTGCGCCATTAGCAAGGTTGAGAACCACTGAACTAGATGGTGCCCAGCTTCCGTGACGTAATGCTCTGAATAGGATTGCAAGAGAAGTTTCCGGATAGAGGGAGAGAAAAATGAAGACCCAAATCCTTAAAAAAAAAAAAGATCAGACTTTCTGGTCTTCCAGAGACTGGTGGAACCCCTGAGCCGATGGCCCTTTGGTGCCCTGCAAAGCTAGAACTGGACCCACGCCAGAGGGAATCCCCTTTCAGGTGAAAGTGGACAGGCCAAGCAAGTGAACAGCGACACGCCGGAAGAGCATGCTCCTGGGAGCAATCAGCTCTAAGAGACCAGAAAGGGCAGCGCTGGCCCCAAAACGCAGTCAAAGGCAACAAGGGGCAGGGGAGATGGGCCCATGGAAACTCCGGGCTCTAGGGAGGAAGTGAGAACAAAGCCGGTCCACAGAGGGACTTACACCTCTTGTCAGGAAATAAAAACGTGTATAAATGATTAAACAGAGAGCTAATGTGTGGTGAACCTCATCTAGACCACAATAAGATGTGAAAAAAGTGACGTCCCACAAGAAAAACAAACTTCAAGTTACTTAGCACCGACTGCCGTCCCTGGCGCTGCTCTAAATGCTCTTTGCACGTGGTCATGAATTTAATCCTTCAGCGAAGGTCCTTGCAGAAAGGTGTGGGGTTTGCTTAACCCCTGCACCACCACATCTAGGTTCTGTGACGGTTTTTTTTTAGCTGCGGGGCGTTGGGCAAGCCACTGACCACGTTCAATCTCGGAACACAAGGGATTGACACCAATCAGGGTGTATTCCAAGGCCAAGGGGGGTCGTTTGGTTTTCTAACAAGCTCTGAGGCTGCTAGGAGGAGCCCTCCTGGCTTTGCGGTCCATCGGCAGCCGCAGAGTCAGCAGTTTGAAACCACTGGTCCCATGGAGGGAGGAAGAAAGACGGTAAAAGAGTTACCATCTCAGACCCTCTCAGGGACAGTTCTAGCCTGTCCTAGAGGGCCAGGGTGAGTGGGCATCAATTCAATGGCAGAGTTTGTTTGTTAGATGTTTGAACGCAAGGTCAGCAGTACGAACCCACCCGCTGAGCCTAGGGGAAAAGAGGCAGGGAAGCTCTCCTTGGTCCTGCAGGGGCGCGAGGAGTCCGCATCACCTCCATGGCTGGGAGTGTGGTGTCCAGGATGGCGTGGGGCTGCCCCCTCCTGCTTCCCCCTGCGGCTGTCATCTGTACGGGAGCCGGGCACAATGCCGGGTCTTTCTCCCGTGGGACCCCTGGGTGGGGCTGGGACTGCTGACTTTGCAGCTAACAACCCGGTGTTTGAGCGTTTGCACCAACAACCAGGGATCCTGGGGAGACGGGTCCTCAAACAATCCCCGTTTCACTGCAGCTCAGAGAGGTTAGGTGGCTTGCCCAAGGTCCCACAGCTTAAAAGGGGTAGAGGCCTAGATTTGGTTGGTGGTGCAGGGGTTAAAGTTAGCGTCGGCTGCCAAGGACAGGTCGGTGGTTCGAACCCAGCCAAGGAGAAAGAGAGAAAGCCGTTCACTTGCGGTGGCAAAGATGAGCCTTGGGCAAGATATGACAAAATACCCATTTATAAACTATCAAGGGCTCATGTGGGAGAGGGGAGTGGGGC